CAGGAAATGCTATTCCCGGGCGCTCAGCCGGTCCTCGTCCCTTCTAACGGAGACCGGAGGACGCCCCCCGGTTTGCAGCCTGTCTCCGGCCTTCCTGACGGCCAGTCAACGCCGCTCCCCAACGCCCAGCCAATCGGTCAGGGGGCGCCACTCCTTTCTAACAAAAAATTGCGTTTTCTCATATTGCACAGGAAAATGAAGTTCATTGATGGGGACTTTTTCAGGCAGTCGCAGTTTGGAATTGAACGAGTGCCATCAACTGCTTAAATTGGACTCGCTTGTCAGATTCCGAGGAGCAGTCAGAAAAGCCTAGCTTGCCTGTCGCCCTTCTAGCGCTACCCAAACTGGATTTGTGAATACATAGTATAGAGTGTTCGTGTTCGTGAGAAGTCTACCGATCGTTAATTTACAGCAGATGTCTACGACGTGTGTTAAAAGTCGTCCGTTTCTACCTGTGTACCAGCAACCCCTACTCCTGCAAGGACGCCCGCTGCCTTTGTGACAGTTGCTCCCATCTTCCGAGCTGCTGTAGCTGCTGGACGTGCAGTTCCGGTTGCGCCAAGTGCTGGCGCGCGAGCCAACTCTCAGTTCCAAGTGAGAACCAGCCAGGTAATCATCCCGCAACACAAATTCAAGGCCAGCTTACAAGACTGACACGTGCTCGTCGAACGTGGTCTTCAAGTCTCGAAGGTCAATAGATTGCGGGACTTGTCACATGCGTTAGTTGTATTTCTGTCCGATCCTGGTTTGACAGCGCTGATCGAGGTTTAAGTGTTCTAGCAACACAGACCGAAATAGGTCGAAATCTGCATTCTGCGAAGCTTGTCGAACTCTCAGCGCTTATGGTTCCAAGCCCGTTAGAAACCTTTGCAGGAACCAAGCGTCGTCGCACCTCGGATGGAGGCCATCTTGGCCCATAGAGCGACCCCGTTGCACGAAGTTGCCGTTGTCCGGCAGAAGTTGACATGCGCATCAGAAGTGGAGAGCACCTACTATTCCAGGGGTGCGTACAAACCGTGTTGCAAGTACTGTGCTGAGTTTGAAGACCTGCACGAGACCGACCCGATACTGAAGGAGCAGTAGGCCACGGTTTATCCCATTTGCAACGACTGCTTTAGCAAGGGCAGACCAATTGTGACAGCGAGAAAGAATAAGGTGGGCAGGTCTGGAGTAGGAAGGTGATCCTAGTCGGTCAATGTACAAGAGTAGATCGAGCTAGAATAAGTAACTTAATAAAGTATCCAATGGCTTGTTGAAACGCTGAAAGGTTTTGATTACCTGACCCTTGATCACTGCGGCGTCCTGCCAACCATTAAGCACTTACCAATGATTCTGGGCCATTGAGAGCCATGTCTTCAAGATGTGCGCCGGGGCTCAACTCCAGCCGCGCAGTTTCACTTTCATCCCAACCTCTTCGCTGTCCATAGGAAAAGTTGCAGTATCATATCGACTCGAAGAGGCACAATGTCCGACCATGTTGCTTTATGTCGCCTATAGTGAGGGATATAGCATACCACCGAGACGCCGGGATGCATGGCATGAATTATGTGATTCGATTGCAACATGTTCCAACTCATGCATGACGAGCGACCATGGATGTGGCCGCTTTATTGACGAGCATTTTAGCGCCCGACAACGGACTCGACCATGATGTTGGAAATTATATGCAAGCATGTTGTTGCAAGCTTTATGCATACGTAATATGCAAGCGGGCACAATACATACATGGAATGACATTAATCTTTTATTTGTGCGCGCAAGCATATCATCAAAACGTGACAAGTTCAAGACCGTACGCAAGATGTCAGGTTAATCAAGTGGGCTATTATGCGGATCGTACATATGTGGATTTAATTGCATGCTTGCACTTGTGATTAAACGCAAAGAAAGTCTCGGTATCAAACAGAAGTATCTTAAAAAAACACATCTATATGCGTCTCACTATCCTTCAAGGAGTTGCTCGCATATTAGTTACATGGGGCTTGGCTGCTTCAAGATCGGCTATTGCTTGCATCGAAGCCCCCAATTTAGTAAGAATCCGACTTTGCCGACGAATCAATGGTTTTCGGACCATTGATTTGGCCGACGGAAAAGTCCGAGGAACATACCACTAAAATCGATGGTTGCGGCATACCATTGATTTGCCGGGTAACTTCGACTGGAGCAATTTCACGGTTAAATCAATGGGTCCGCAAACCATTGATTTTGCGCGTAACTACGCGGGCACGCTTTCCGCGGCAGATCGACGATCCACGCAGGTCACTGATTTGGCAGGCAAAGGTAGACAACGAACTTCCCGGGCCAATGAGCGGGACGTGTCGACCATCGAAGTAAGAGAAACATGACGCCGTTGGAGCACAGGGTCCATGTCTTTGTTGATGTAATTGATCTTGATTAAAAAGGGCCTTAGTGAATTAGAGCCGTTGTGCAAGAGTTTAATCAAATCACGTTTTACAGAACTTTCAAAGTATCAAATTTATGCATTGCCATGATCCGACCATCTCAACTGTAGTGCTGATCCATATTTAAACATCAAATTCGAAGATATTCCGGGGATCCTGAGATCCACACACAGTGCGTCTGGCCAGATCAATCAATCCTCAAAAGCTAAGGTTACATTTGTGTTTTAATCCATGTTGCGCCATTTGCAGCGCCCCAACGTAATAGTTTAGTTGGAGCGCGGTCATCTTAATTTGACATGCACAAACCAATCTGATGTGCCCAAAGGAAGCACTGCCGGTCAATTGTCACGTTGGTTGGAGGTACCGTACGTGCTCGGTTGCTCGGCACATGTTGCAAGCATACGTGCATTGCAAGGTCGAAGAGATCCTACATACCCTCAAAATTATACTGGCTCGGAGCACGTATGGTCTAGAGCTAGCACATGCTGGACCAGATTCAGATCGAGCTTGAGAACAATGGGACACGCGCCCCTGAAAATCTGGAAGTGCAGGCTTGGAGCAACTCGTTGAAGGTCGACTGCACCTACTTCTAAAAACAACCGCTCGTCGTCCAATGAAGAATCGAAAACGGCACGGGCGGTGTCTGCATACATACGGATTCTTGCTGAACAATTATCGCGCCCATGTAGCTTTTGGTCAACTGTGGTGTGTGACTCTACGTTGAAGTATGCTATAGTCCTCTCAGACCCGCAGGTGCTCTTCGCTCAGGTTGAGTTCATCTCAGCTTCAAGAGCTCGATACAAACCTAGCAGGCTGCCAAGCATGTAATCATCTATCAGCGGCCAGCTGCGCGCGGCGGACGATCGGGGCTGGCTGGCTAACGGATGGCATGCTGAACGCACCAGTCGTCTGATGTGTCTGCACAGATGGACTCGAATGAGGAGATCTACAAACTAGATAGAGACCAAATTGAAGATTAAACGGAGAACTTGGGTATGCTGTGAGATTGTAGGAAAGAAAAAGCGGCATCATAGAATGACCAAAAGGAGGTTAAGGGAGAACGGACGGGCCAACCATTAGGTTACTTTTGAAACGAAGAGCTTGAGTTACAACGGAAGAGCCTCTTACGTCGCCTCTTACTTTCGATCCGGGCTGCGAGGACGGCGTGATAGAAGGACGACACGAAGTCATAGGAAGCCGACAGCACGACAAAGAACGTCGGATACGGTGAGCCAACCCCTCAAGCCGACTCTATGTGGGACCCTTCCGGGAAAACCAACAAAATGTTTGCTTAAATTGTGACGACGATATGATTTGGGCGGATCTTGGCGCTCAGAATTCAGGCCTCAACTGGAAGAGCTTGTCGAGTGAGCGGTGTGCTGGCGTTTCCAAGTTGCGTGATCATCTTTTGCCCAAACTCTTGGATTTATGCTGATCAACAATTGTAAATGCATGGATTACGTTTGAAACAGAGACAGATGGTAGATCAACCAGGGCGCACCTCATAACAGAAGATCAACGCCGCCTATTCCTCCTTTTGCGGGCCGCGGTTCCACCCAAGATGTAACGGCACGACTGCGCACCGACTCCCGGCTGCGCGCTGAACTCGCGGCCGCGCATCGTCCGTTATTATACGCTATCGACTTATTGAATCACTACACGCCACGTGTCCAG